AACCCTCCTTCTTTATCCGGGCTTTGGACCGGCAGTAGCCCCCGAAGGGACTCCAGGAGGAGTTACTATCTCACATGTGACCTGGTTGAACTTCACTGGTCACTGCTTCCCAGATACTAATCAACATATACTCACCAGTGGCTGGCTTCAAGATGTATATCCGTGAGTTCTAGTGAGAAGCAGTGACCAGTGGAGTTCAACCAGGTCAGTTGTGAGATAAATTAGTTAATTAATCAACGAATAAGCTAACCAGAAGTAATTTTTTGTGAATAAAACTGTTTAGGTAGAAACAAAGAAATCACATGGTAAACATTACAGATTTTTGGACTTTTCTGTAGTGAATAAGAACACGAGTGGGGACAACAGAATGTATTACCACACAAAATTACAGAGCATTTCACTAAAATCCGAGAACCCTACAGTAAATAGATGATTTGCAAAGTATCAATCAGTTGTCTCAAACTTGACTGTTCCGTTTACAAATATCAGTTAACCGTCTCAGATTTCATTGTTCATGCATTTTCATACCAATTGCTCTTCGTTCTCGTTCTTTCTCTCTCGATCTTCCATGGAAATAGATTCTATGTCTGACCGTCGTTATATACTACTTATGTGGATAGAAGTAGCTCACACCTCAATCAAGTCACTGTTACCTCACAAAACATATAATGATTGGCATTTAACACTAATGATAAACAACTTAGATATCCGAAGTTTATCATACATAAAGCGTACACGAACCATATACTTATAAACATGGTGACACCATAAATTCACTAGCTAGCTGAAAAGAAATATTGATTTAACCATGTGCTTTTTATACATACATAAGTGAGAGGAAGTCATTTATTTTAAACAGAAAGATTTATTCAGTGCCATAAATCCATGGACTTCTTTATTGTGATTATATCAAAATTCAACCAAATACATTTATGTAAGTAATACAGCTTGTGAACAATTGACAAGAACATAACTAAATAGAATCAACGTATATGACTTTGATTGAATCGTAGTCGATAGGATTTGATCTACACTAAAAAAAGACCTAACACATGTGACATTGATCATCACCCAGTGATCAATCATTTGTTAGTAGATGAAAATCTTTATTTGTGTTCATTTTCCAAAAAAAATAAACCTGGATACATGAATAATATTTATAATCATAGAAGATGAGTGATCAAATTAGAATTGTGTTAATAATTACTTTTATCTTCAGTGAGTTATTATTTCACAACAGACCTGGTCACGGTTTCTCAATAGAATTCTAGGAAATACTTCTTGAAGCCAGTCACTAGTGAGCATAGGTTCTGGGTTCAGATCTCGCGAGATGAAACCGTGGATGTGCATTTCTTGGGAGTCCAGTACCTTCAGTTTTTCCATGGTGGTTTAGCTTCAATTGACTCATAATCTTAACTACTAAAATTACTATAAGATCTATAAAAAACCCATATTATTTTAATTACTTTTATTGCAGTAAATTAATGTAGTTTTGTGCATGGAACTAATCTATTTCAGTATTTCCAACTAGCTACATTTTACATGGATAATATTTATATTTAATTATAATAAGTACCGGTAATCATGTTACCAATTCTATATGTGATATCATATTTGATTTAGTGCATTATAAAGACAGGTTAACTTGTGATTATTAGAACACATAATGAGGTAGCTATGTATTATAATGAACTAGTGAATAATTGAATCAAAGTAATAAAACAAATAATGTTCAATGATCACACATTGATATCAATAATAATAATAAATTTGTATAAAATTACATTTTCCCATTTAAATACTATGACCCATATATATGCTTAATTAACTCAACAAATAACTGTATTTTCATTTATAATACTACTTCCTTGTATAAGTACGTAACATGTTATTGTGATAATCCGATAAACTATGTGTATATTTATACACATATAGAGAATATTTTCTAAGTTTAGATTGATATCATGTATAGATCAACGTTAGATCAACATTGAAAATGTGGAAGAAATGGACTCATGAGCAGTGGATATCCATAATCTCAGAAAAAGGGAGTCGAATTTAAGACCCCTGGTCTTGTACACTAACGCTTAACCAGTAGACCATTGACCTTGCATCCAACGGTGTCTGTTATAAGGTAGTTACTCATTGAAAACAATGGAAGATGGTCGTGCGATTTCATTGATTGATTGAAATGAGACATTAAAACCGGCTCACTGAACTAGAGGCTAAGTGTTCGCGTGTGACACAAAAGGTTTTAAGTTCAAGTCCTTTGTGCAGGATTGTGGATGCTCACCACTCACGAATTCCACACAAGAACGAAATGACCATCCAGTGTTTCCAGATTTTCAATGATGGATTACCATTGATCCATTCATGATATCAATCAAAAACTTACTCATCTCGACAATCTTATACTGATGTTTACTAAGTACTTGGAAAACTGCTCTATTACAATTTCGAACAATCTGAATATTTACACTTACAAGTATTCTGTTATTATTATTATTATTATTCTGTCCTCTTAACCTTAAGATTGGAAACGAAAGCAACATAAATAAATAAATAAATAAATAGAGCAACGAGAAAAAAAAACAAGTAAAAGCAGATGTTTAGAAAATAAATAAAATTATTGTTTATATTAATGAAAAATTGTAAACAAATAGAATATTATATAGTGAACTTATGAACTAGTTGTGAAAAAAAAAGAAAAAGAAGAAGAAGAAGAAGAAGAATGAGTGATGTAATTTAGTGCAATCAAACAAATATTATCAATGATGAATAAATTGAATTTGAGTTTCGAAATGATCAAGTGAATTAAATTGGCTTAATATTAAAAGAGTTTAGCTTAGATTATTCTATTATTTTTTGTTGTTGTGATCGTTATTGTTGTTTAAAATGTTACATTGAATGAAAGGGAGGGGGAAGGGGGAACATCATTGTAAATTAATAATAAATATATATTTTGTGTGTGTGTGTGTGTGTCTATGTATGTGTAATCCCAATGAGTAGAAAAAATTGTATCTTTTCTTTATTTTCCTCGTGGTTTCGAGACTAAATATAAGCCAATTGTTCGGAGTAAACAAATAGCTGAAATCAAAATTATAATTGAACCTGAATATGTCAGTGTTAAGTTATTCTTGATCAAGATGAATTTGTATGACATGCTACTGTGTAACGATTGGGCACACAAGCCGAGACAGTCGAATGTATTTGAGCACAAAATTACAGAATCTTTTAGTAAAATCTGAGAATCATACAATAAATACATCATTTGCAAAATATCAATCAAATGTCTCAAACTTGACTGTTCCTTCATTTCCACAGCAATCATTCACTGTTCTCGTTTTATTTTCTTTGATATTTTTAACCTTATGCTGCTAGACATTCTATTCCTGACTAGTGTTATATACTACTTATATCTGTCGATATTAGTAGCACACATCACAATTGTATTAAACTGTGCATTTGTGATATGAAGTAATGAGGTTGAAATTGGGTGTGTATGCAGATTGTGTGGAAAATAAATAAGGTCAAATGTCGTTGTATGGATAAATAATCCAGGTTGGATGATTAGTCAGTCGTTCTTTCCTATTGAGGCCAGAGGAATTAAGCATTATATGAAACGCTTAGGCTACTCACCACTTTTAATATAATTGAAAAAAACCTTTCTGAATAACATTAAGTCACGAAACGTTTGATACAATACAATTTTTCAACTCATTAGGATATAACAAAAGATATATATTTAACAGTATGGGGTTGTGGAGATTGTTAAGTTTTTGATTGACATCATGAATACATCAATGTTAAACCACCACTGAAAACCTAGAAACACTGGATGAACGTTTCGTCCTAGTATGAGACTTTTCATCCGTGAGCATCCACGATCCCACTGAAGGGACTCGAATCAAAGACCTCTGATCTTACACGCAAACACCTAACCTGTAGACCATTGAACCAGTATCCAACGGCGTTAATGTCTAACTTCAACCAATCCACGAGATTACACAACCATCATCCATTAACTGCGATAGGTATCTGTCTCTACCTGACATGAATTAGCTCTACTAGTCCCGGCTTCTTACTAGAACTTTCTACCCAATGCTTACTTTATTTGAAACAGTCAAGTACAAATTTAGCATCGATGCTTATAAAATCGTTGTAAACTATAATTTACAATGGAAGTAAACGTTTGAAAATCAATTTGTTACTAACTATTGTTCATTGTAAAACGTTGTCCTAAATACTCATCACAAACACTTATATTTCTGTGAACTGTTTTGTTTAGCTTAATTTTAGCTTGATATAAGTTATAAATATATCAATATATGTGTATTATCCCAATGAGTAGAAAAACAAATTAGATTTTCTGACGTTTCGTGACTTAGTGTAAGCTACTTCTTCAGAGAATAAATAACCAAATCCATTTATATGAATTAACTAATTTTGAGTTTGTTAAACATAGAACAAATGAACATGCTATGTGACTATTTGTGTTTAATAAAGATGTACTAAACGCAAGAGAAAATAATGTTTTGAATATTTTAATAAATGAAAATATGTTATTTATTCTGTTTGACATCATAAATGAACTAAGTATATAACCTATAAATCACTGAATAGACTTTACATTATAATATCAATTGATTACAAACATATTAGTTGAATAGATTTTTACAAGTAGAGATAGATAATGGCTAACAGTGAAACTAATGACACGTGTTTCGTCCTATTTGGGACGCATCAGCTGGATTTACCTGCATCTCAGAGTTGATGTTCACTGAGTGACTCGAACCCAGAATAAAACGTACTTCTTTTCTATGCATAGCTCTGGATTCATCTTAAGAATATCAAGTACTTTTACTGTTACTGATATTGAAGAAATCAATGTAGATTTTTACGAATTGTATAAGCTACTTTAATTGAAGTGATTAACTTAAATTTTAAAAAAAATTATTTCATTACAATTCTCTTGTATTTTTCTATTTAAAATTCAATAGGCAATGGTTATATTGAAGGTTCAGAATTGGATAATTTTCTACGTGAATTCATCTATAGTGTATTTTCTGAAGAATTAGGAAATGAGGTAAGTGTGAAGTATTTCTTTAATTAATATAGATTCATGATTTATATTAAAGTGTTTAGGATTGGTCTTATTTAACTGATGAAAGTAAATCACACGTTTTCTATGTAAATAATTTGTTTCTTTCTGTAACTAGGCATTAGTTAACAGTCTATATATTGTATTTAGTGATAAGTACACTGCTGAGGAGTCCCACAATAAGACGGAACGGCCGTCAATTACTTCCAGGTTTTCTATGGTGGTCTAGCTTTAATTGACTCATGATTTCAACTATTAAAATTGTTATTAATTTATTTATTTATTTTATTTCAATACATAAATATTGGTACAAAGAGGTAAAGAATACATATGCGTCACACAAGTCATTTGATTTGTGTGGACTGTGATACTGTCCGGGCGCCCACACCGAAATGGATGTTTTTCTTGAAGAACCACATCCGGAGCTTTTGGCCTAAAGGTCTGATCCATAAGGCCTTGGAGAATCGTAGGGAGATGCTTTCCCATGGTAGCCGGTGATTCTTACGCCAGTTATTCCTTCAGAATACTAAAGCTCATTTGCACCACAGGTTAAAGCATTGACATTGACTTTTCATCCTCTAAATTTCCTGAACAACAGTAATAACGTGATGAAGCAGTGAGTAGGACTTCCCTGGTAGTGGCTGTATACGCGTGACCATGTGAGAGCATTTGTAAAGGGAGTGTTAACTGTCTTCACCCTCGGTCGTACCAGGGCATTTAGAAGTTAACAAAATGAATCAAATTATAAATCAGTAAGCAATCGATTATCAGAATATGAGGAGTTATTTTTATTTAGTGAATAGGTAATATATAGCCAAGGAGGTTATAGAAATGTCTTATGGAAAAAAGATTTGGGATCATATACCTCCCTCTGTATACAAAGAAAACTAGATATTGATCATATATTCTTGGATAGATTGGAAAAGTATTTCTACGTGAATTCAATGTCTGGTTTCAACTAAATTCACAAGGATATTGTTTCTTGATGTCATTATTTATGATTTAGTTAATATTGAAAAATAATGTTCCAAAATATAGTGAGTATCTCAAGTAGGCTTACTTACTGAGGTAATCAGAGTAATATAATTGGGTTCATAGAAACATTTGAATTGGTTATAACATTTAGAGACTCCAAAACGTAATAATTTATCATTACTCAGTGAACTGATTAATGAATGACTAGAAATCAAAGGGTATAACATTGATACGCTGAATATTTTTCTTTGACTGGTAATGTCAACTACAGTAAGTTTATATGTTATCAAACTTTTATTTTAATCTTCTATATTCCTAGGAAATCTAATAAATATGTATACTTGTTATATAGGTCGTGGATAACTTAGTAAATGAATGAGGATCGGTCATAATGCAGTACAATGATGTAAAAGATGTCTAATCTTTCTAGAACACTAAGATAACTATTTTGTACTAATGTAAAATCTCTCTACCTTAATGATCTAGGACTTTCAGGTACATGGTGAGTATATTACCTTTAAAGTATTAGAATTCAGTTGTTCACATTTCTAAATTTTAGTCTATCCGGATTATTGTGTTAATATCATTCATTGGTCATCTTAAGTTCGACCTAATGAAACTCCAATGGTTTCAGCACCTTTTTCAAAACTTCATTAGTTTTCTTCGTAAGAAACTGCAATCAATGAAGTTCAACTATGTTCGGCGTCAAACAAGTACCACTAATAAGAATGGTTGATGATCACAAAGTTAAATCAAGTTCGTCATTTCAACCAGAAAAATATTCATGATCTCAACAAAAATTCTATACTGCCAATTTAGAGATAGATTCATTAGAAAATTAAACTCATAAATAATAAAAAACAAAGCTAAATCCAAATAACAACATAGAGATCATTTCTGTCTTTCTCTTATATTGAAGACTATGATGTAGTTCGGTAGATAATGGTGTTAATACATTTAAATTTTAATTAACTACTTAATTCGAGCTACTTAATAAGTACATTTTCAACTTGAATGATAACTTGTTTTATTCAACAGGTGTTTGATACTAATTAATGAGAAATCAAAAAATAATAATAAAGATTGAGGGGGGCTAATCGAGTGAGACGGGAATAGTGCAACCAACATCTTACATCGAAGTTGCACTTAGCAGTCAGCGCCTGAAGAGGTTTATTCCCTCGTCGTATCAAGGTACTATTGCTGCTTTCATGAACGTATAACACAAAAGACTTTATTGCAGAAATATGCTAGTTAGAGTATTTACAAACAAAAATGTGACCACCACCGTATGGGCCAGTTCATGGCGTACGATTAACTGATGCGCGTTGTTCGATATTCAGTGACCCAATAGCGAAATGATTCGGCCAGTGCTCAGTGATACTTCACTGATCCTACAAAAGTATATGTTTGGAATAAAATGAATAGAAATTTGTGGTCAATTTATGAGTTAGTGTGATATAAAATGGAATTCTTATCTGTAGTCCATATAATAGCATGAAAGATTGAATATATCAATGAATATTTATATTAAATTAACTTCAAGAGAGGACCTGAAATTTACATTATGAGACAATTGCAAGGTACTTTAATAAGTTATGAGTTTCATTGTTTTTTATGGCTTTCGTACGGCTAGTAATGTTCTTGGTGAAAAATCAGTTTAAAATAAGAAAGCTTAAGTGATGTGATTATATCGAAATAACTGGTGAGACTATAATTTATGGACGACCATTGAACAACGCTAAACTGGTCTTCAGAACATCCCCCTACTCACTAGGGCTAAATAGGGGTTAGAAAACAGTGTAAAGAATAAGGATTATGGTTTACAGTTGATGGTTAAGGTTAGGAATTAGATTTGTCGTTTTCATCACAAATTGGCATCATCTAGAACTCCAAAACGTTATCTAGTCAAATAAATAAATGGATTTCGCGCCGAAATTCAAAACCCGTTATCCCAAACTGATTGGTTCGTCCATAAATTATAGTCTCACCAAATACATAACATAATTAACCTGTATAATCCATTTTAGTAGTTTAAAGTTATTACTTAATTGTACACAGTGATATTCTTATAAAGATAATAAACGTACTTTAATTAAATACAATATGCGGTAGACAGTTAACAACAACATGACTATCTTTACACAATCAAGAGAATCTGTTACAGAATTGTAATTACTGACGAACTTATTAAAGAGTAATTTTAAACAAGAAAAAGACATCAGTGAAACGTGAATGGCTCAGTATACCTGCTATGAATTTCATAGCACAGTTCACTAACCAGACTATAATGGGTGAAACTTAAGTACCTCAAATTACTTGATGTGTATGAACTGAGGCACAATTCATTTAAATAGCTCTATGCGTAATACAGTTGTCATTTTAATAATATTGGTAAGAATTACTTCTCTATATGATTTTTAGATACTATATTCGTTACTACATGAAATGATAAGTATGGACTAGTCAAAGTATTCAGACATGAACTAAGCATACTTCTTAGATTTTCCTAACTCTTTAGTTTATCCTAGTACATGAAGATTATCTGTCGCACTCTTCGAATCTAAATCAATCAAACATCGATTAGAATTACCCTTAAAACTAAACTTTGAATGGTAGAAGAATCAAGTTTGTCATATGTAATAATAAACTGTCACATCATTTGCTTATCACTTACTGTATTTGGTCATTAAAAAACTAATAAGATACAATATATCATATGAAATCATTAGGAAAAGACAAATAGAAAGGTTTTCTATGATACGTACATATATAGTACCAATGAATGAATAATTGATTACATCATCCAATCACTAATTAATTTCGTTTGAATAAATATGGTCTAGGGAAACTAATTATTAGTCGCCGTATGAACATATTATAGCATCCAAGTAAAGGAAAAAAGAACTGGTAATACTCTGTTGAGATTATTGATAATAAACCAGTTTATAGTAAGACAATAATAGTAAATGTGTCATTGTTGTTAAATATACATACATTTATGTTTGCATAAATAGTAATCTGTTTGACTTCATTGAATGTTTCCTATCCAATAATTAGAATGAAAGACGTCATTTTTACAATGAAATGACGATAGGTTATAGTTAAACTCATTAACTTTATTATTCAATTTTGAGACTTAGTATAAGATTAATTCATTATTGTATTGGTTGTTTAATTACTGCCGTTGATGTTTAGAACTTGTATAGATTGCCTTGATATTACCTTAGGTCACATACATTATAAGCGGAAATGGTTGGTGGCTAATACCGTACTGTACGAACCAGTGGCTATCTGGACTCAGTAGCTAAGTCAATAACACGATGGTGATTGAAGTGAATCGTACTGGGTTCGAGTCCTGGAGTGAACATCAACTCAGAAATAAAGATATATCTAGATGACGAGTCCCGAACAAGACTAAACGCCCACCGAACTGGATTCCATTGCTATCCACTATTCATCTTTGTTTATTTATTTTCAATAGTCAAGAAGATGAATTGTTATATTCCATAAAAAGATTAGTACTTTAAGTAAAACAAATAATGTTTATCCCTTGTCTTATTTTTATTATCACTGAAGTTAACATTTTAGTTGTTAACTAATGAGTAATAAAACCAAAGAAAAGATTTTAATTGTGTACAGGTAGTTTTCAACAAAGACTAACAGCATTCAGTGAATAATTAAATTAAATTAAATACTTGAATTAAATTCAGTTGGTATTGTATATTTGAATCTTTCCATTAATGTTTAGAACTGCAATTGATCAGCCTCTTATTAGTATATGTGCATACTGTGCCTATTGCCTTAATTCACAAGCATCATATGGAGAGATGGATGATGGCTAGGAGTGGAATCCAGGATGCATGTTTCATCCTATTACATGGATATATCCGTTGCACAAGCGAGTGGCTATCAGGACTCAGTAGTTAAGTGGACAAGGAGATAAAGTTTGATTTCGAGTCCCAGAGTGAACGTCAACTCAGCGATGCAAGTATATCCGGCTGACGAGTCCCATATAGGAAGCAATATACGTCAAACTGGATTCCATTTCTGGCCACTATCCATTTTTTGCTTAAATACCTGAGTTGTTTAAATTTTGTACTATAATAACCCGATATGATAAAAGTTTGAAATTTTAAGTCTTGTGACTAATACCATGATGTTAAGTTGTTCGATAAGGTTTTGAATCATTCACATACTTCAACTTTAGTCAGTTTAAAATATAACATAATGGCTAACCGTTAATACCAATAAGAAAATGACTCACAGTTGACTTAAGTGGACATTTGTGTCTTACCCTAGTCAATCTACTTTTATTCTTTTGACACTAACCGAGTCAACCTAGTAAAAGTTATAAATTCTTAAAGATCCCAGCGATATCATCCTAACAAATTATTATTATTATTATTAAAGACTATTCAATATTGTATTTTTGGTATAATATAGAATTCTCAGCACATAGTATTCCAATAAATTTCCCTTTATTATTTCTTGATCTACCAGTTAAATGTTAGCAGTTCACGAATCGACTTATGAATTAATGTTCATTCTTTTCAATGCATATTGTCAATCGCCACAATGTCTCTGATTGTGCTGTTTCCTAACTTGTACAGTGAAATGTTGTGAACATTTCAGCTGAATAGGTTGTGCAATTAATTAATATAATGATCTGATGAAGCATACAAAAGACAGATAACTTGTTGATATATCTAGATGGTAGGAACAGGTATCCCGGATATTCGAGGAGACCGTCACAAAGCTATCTTATTACAGAATGGATGATATGTAAATAGTACCAGTTCAATTGATTAAAAGATGTTTATCAAAATTGATTATTATTTAATGAAAACTGTTTAATTACTTAACTGTTCATTATCCACTATGACGTATAAAGATAAATTTCGTGGGATTTATCTACAACTTATAAAGAAATAAAAATTGAAACTGTTTATTTTATACCATTGAAATAAGCTTCAATGTATCATTTATTTCTGATAATAGTTTTGTTAAATATGGCTATTATATCTATAAATCAACAAGATTATGCAGAAATTTCAAGGTTAAATTGTATTTTTACTAATTGAATTCATCAGTGCACTTAAACTAGACCACCACTGCAAACCTAAAGCCACTAAACGACCATTTTGTCCTAGTATGAGACTCTTCAGTAGTACATACCCACGATCCCGTATATGGGCGCTGAATCCAGGACTTTTGGCTTTGATTATGAACTATTAACCTCTAGACAACTTAATTGTCATCAAAAGGGGTTTGTGGAGATTTTTAGAAATTTTTTTTTCACAGATTGAAATCATGAGTCGGTTGAAGCTAGACCACCATTGAAAACCTGGAAGCACTGGACGGCCGTTTCGTCCTAGTATGGGATGGATGCGCACTGCTGAGGAGTCCCATACTAGGACGAAACGGTCGTCCAGTGCTTCCAGGTTTTCAATGGTGGTCTAGCTTCAACCGACTCATGATTTCAATCTGTGACAAACTTAATTGTCATCCATCAGTGTTAATATCTAACTTCAATCGATCCATAATTGACTCGTGAATTCAACTATTACGATACTACTACTACTACTACTACTACAATACTGCCCTACAAATCCCCATTCTCATAAAATGTATTTATTTAGTTAACTTATCACATGCTATTCATACAAAAAAGTGTTTAACTTCAAAAATGAAAATTTATCGTTGTTTGTTTGTTTGTTAGTTTTTTTCTCATAAATTTAAAACTACCAAAACAACCCCTTCAAACAATAAGTCAAATGAAACATTATGAAATAATAAAAAAAAATGTTTTTTTTTGTTTTTCTTTTCTCTATCCCAGAGACAATAAGAACCTAATTGAGTATAAAATTTAAATTTTGTGTTTTTTTTTGTTTTTTGTTTTTCATTTATCAAACACCATTATAATTTATTATTATTCTCATACTCATGAGAAACAATATTCATATTGAACATGTGTGATAAAAGAAACACAATTCAGTTATAGGGAATATAAAACTTTAAACAAAGAAAAAAAAAGAAAAAAAAGAAAAAAAAAGGAAAAAATATTCATCCATTTTTATGTATCTACTATCTATAGACTATTGTATGTGTTATATATAACTTTTATCTATTTAAATAGTGTTATAATAAAATAAGCATATAATAAATAAATAGTGTAATTTTAATGGTTATTTTTTATTATTAATAGGGAGTTTTGTGAAGATTTTAGGAGTTTTAATAGTTGAATTCATGAATCGATTGAAACTAGATTACCATGGAGAATCTGGAAAGATTGGATGGTCATTTCATTCTAGTGTGGGACTCATCAGTAGTGAACAACTATGATTTCGCCTCACAAAATTCAAACCTATGAAGTTAGAAATTAACACTGTTGGATACTGGCCGGCTTAGTGGTTTAGAGGTTAAGCATTCTAGGTTCGAATATCACGGAATGGGATTGTGGATGCGCATTGCTGAGCAGTCCAGGTTATTTTTATATTTACTCACAATGAATTATAGATCTTATTCATGATTATGAATACGTGAATATAATAGATGTTTTCTAGAGTTATGGGTACATATATATATATATATATATATAGTTTAAATATTGTTTATTTAACACTTAACTAGGTATCTTTCGGTTAGTAATAGTCAGATCCCACGTTAAATTCATCAACATGTATGCGTTGATCATATGAATATATAAAATAATATCGTATAATATATGTATATAGTTATATTGTGAATTTAGTATTTGGTGAGACTATAATTTATGGACGATTTTTCAGCAACACTAAAGTGACATTGAGAATATTCACATACTAACTAGAATTAAATGAGGGTTATAAGGCAGTGTGAAGAATAAGGATTATGATTTATAATTAAAGTTAGGAATTAGATTTATGGTTTTCATCACGAACTGACATCAGCTAGAATGCCAAAACTCTATTTAGACAAATGGGTGAATGAATTTCACGATGAAATCCGAGTCCTGATATCTTAAATCCGATTGGTTCGTCCATAAATTATAGTCTTGCCTAATATTCTAATACCAACCGTGTACCGGTTAGCCGAAGGACTTAATATGAAATTTAATATGAATTAATATTTCATTCTGGTCGATAACTATATAAGCGATAATCAACAGATACAGACAGAATGACTAAATATGATCTTACTGGTAATGAAATCGAAAGGTCATATTTCTTCTCCATTCAGGTGCCGATAATGGGAACGGCTGCTGAAACTATCATTCATGACACTGTTTTCCACTGTTTCCTCAACAGACGACGTTTCGCAATATTGAGTACATACCATATATATAGTAATCAGAATGGGGGTTTATGAAGATTATAGTAATTTAATAGTTGAATTCATGAGTCGTTTTAAGCTAGACCATCAGCAGTGCGCATCCACAATCCGCATGCGGGATGTAAGTTAGATATTAATACAGTGGGAGCCGGCTCAGTAGTCTACAGGCTAAGCGATCGTGAGCGATGCCGAAGGTCCTGGATTAGAATTCCGTGTGCAGGATCGTGGATGCACACTGCTCACAAATCCCATATGAAGACGAAACGGCCGTCGTGTGCTTCCAGGTTTCCAACGGTGGTCTAGGGTAGATCGACTCATGAATTTAACTATTGAAGCACATATATCCATAATGTTTTTTAGTACGTACGACAATGAGATTTTACTGAATTTTACGTAAATGTTCTTTCATATTAAAATATAATCAAAATTATGATGATGGTACAAAAACTCTGAATATCGGGATCGAGCCCAGAAGTCTCTTCTCCAAAGTCTAGTTTAAAACCTTATGACAATTTACTTGGTAATCAACGGTCTACACACTCGTCTTTTCATTCAATTTGCAACATTGTGAGATCATCTCAGTGGGGGACAAAGTCCTCATATGAGACACTATTGAATTTAACTGGTCACAGTTTTTCACTAGAGGTTGAGGAATTACCTCTTGAAATTAGTCACCACTATATACATGATTAATGATGAAATAAAACATTTCAAACAATTACTGTATGTTATAGTTTACATTTACCAAGAGGTCACATTTTAGGACGAAATAGCTGTCTAGAATAATTCTTCGTTTTTGAAAGATCTAACTTCGATTCATTCATGATGCTGACTACAATGTTCATCAATCTCCACAAACTATTTACGCCTTGATTGATTGAAAGTATTCAGTAGGTAGTTTCGGATTTAAGTTATGTAATAATAAAGGATAACAATTTTAAATCAAATACTGCATGCATAATTAGAACACTTCATTATTTAATAATAAGCTTTGTGAAGTTACTACTTAGCTTATCTTTGAAAAATGTTACTAGTTTTATTGACTTACATATTACTATAAAATAAAGTGTGGTTAACATTAGATAACATTAAATTGTCAGCTTGAAAATTTGCCTGTTTCCTCTCTTAACTACTCTTCAAACAAGATATAAGAAACATTCCGTTTAACAATCTAATGATAGAGTTATGCAGATTGTTGAGTTTAGATTGATATTATGAATGGATCAATGTTAGATCATCACTGAAAACCTGAAAGCATTGAAAAAGCCATTTCATTCTGTACTAGGAAGAAATGACCGTCCAATGCTTCTAGGTTTCCAATGATGGTCTAATATTGATTCACTCACAATATCAATCCAATCTAATAATAATAATAATAATAATAATAATAATAATAATAATCGTAATTTACTTTGTTCCCCTTTATTTTCAAGTTCGCAATTTATTCAATTTGTTCAACTTGATTAAATGTGAAGTGTTTTTATCTTTGTCACTTTTTTCTTTCAATTATCTCTATTTTTCTCCTAGACAATACCTAGCGATGAGTTGGAATTAATGAAAAAAGAATTTATGGAGGCATTCGATGAAAATTCTGACAATCGAATTGAGCTTACTGAAGTACGTTTAGGTAGTAATCATAATAGTTGTAGTAGTAGAAGAAGTGGTGGTGGTGGACATTGTATTCTATGTCAGAAATTATCTCAGATTATGTTCTTCTTCTCACAGTTAGTTTTAATCCATAAAACATTTGTATTTCATCTGTCCACTTAAGTATGTTTTTATGAGAATAAAAATAGGAAGATGATACAATGATGACAGTCAATTGATTATAACGTTCTATGTAAATCGACTATGAATTATTCATAAGCGAATTTATTAAATGTATGTATGGATGCACCCATTCGAATGTGTGTACATTTTCGAGCAGAACATATATATATATATATATATATATATATATATATATATATATGACGAATTCTCAAAAGAAAGATCAACATTTACTATCATTATTATTTTAGATAAGCTCAGTACACAGAGAAAAGTATTTTAGACGATTGACTTAACATTTGGAAGCCGTATTTAGGTGATATGACAAAGCGATGAATATCAGGGACAAATATAGAAAACAAGGCGGGAAAAATAAGCGTAGACATGATAATTTCTTAAATTATTGTAATATTTATTACTAGTAATATGATTATTAGTATTAGTATTGTTATGATAATCTAAAATGATGTCAGTCAGTCAGTAATAACGTAGACCTTCGTACTTGCGTACGTCAGTTCGAGTTGCTATACCACATTAGCACAGAGATACAATTGTCGATTCAAATTCCATAGTAGTAGAGGTAGTAAAAGTATAAGCAGTAATCGGAAAGATTAGGGTTTGAAGATGTTATTCAAGTAGTATAATCCAGCGAAATGAATATGGAAAGAGAAAAATTAAGCAATATGGAGAATTCAGAAGATTAAAATTTGTGAGAACACAAAGAGTGGATGCACTTGAGCCATTGCAAATGATTTTCAGCCATGTCATTCAACGTTTCTGACCATCGGTTGCTATCGTGTCGTGGATCCCAACCAGTTAGTCTACACTTACCAACACAACTCAGTCCACTTGTCAGTGACTTCATGGATTTTTACTATGTTTTGGTCTGGCCACCTGTAACTTTCTTCCAACCTTCTCCTACACCACAAAACATCGCACGTCGTGGCAGTCGGTGTTTGAGAATACGTAACACGTGTCCCAACCATCTCAACTGATCAAGTTTACTACTTCATCAATTGATTTGCCATCCTCACCTAGTACCCGTTTCCTAACAACTGCATTAGTTACTCGACGGTCCCAGGATACACGACCAATATTTCTAAGACACCTATGATCAAATACTAGTAGCCTACGAATATCCTCAACTCTTACTGGCCATGTTTCACTGCCATAAAGTAGGACGGAACGAACTGCTGCGCAGTTAACACGTCCTTTTGTTGATAGACTGATATCTCGCCTACGCCATAAATGACGCAATTTGGAAAAGCCAGTCGAGCGTTCTGAATCCGTGCTGAGATTTCGTCACACACCAGACCACAAGGGCTGATGAAAATTCCAAGATAAGTGAAGAGGTCGACACGCTCAATTACTTCACTCCCTATTATTAGTTCAGGTGTCGATGAGACCCAATCCCGAAGCAACATTTTGCATCTTGAGAATGGGTAGACTCTCATCCCGAACGTGCTTGAGATTGTTGCTTATAGTAGCCAGAAGACTCTGGATTTTGTCAGCATCTTCACCAAACTGAACTATGTCATCAGCATATTCTAAGTCAGAGAGTGAATCTTCCGGTAGAAGTTCAACCCCTGGAAATTTAACTGAGGAAAGTGTCATCTCTAAAAGCATGTCAACGAGAAAATTTAACAAGAATAGAGAGGGTGCACAGCCCTTATCTAAAATGATGAATCCAAGCGAGGCCTCTGATAAATTATTCAAATGATCCTTTGCGTTATCAGCTGTAAATCTAAACACAAGGATTGTAACTTAACGGCAACAAGACATGTAACACTTTACACGTGTAGACTCTAACCCATTATATGGTCGTAATCAATAACATCTCATTCACTTCTCATTATGAATAGAGTTCGATCAGAAGATTAATTGGTAAATTACATGTTTCTATGATGACTGGTTGAATACAATCAGATTGTTTTGATCAACAGTGTTTGGTGTCTATCTCATCATTGATCAGTCTATGTTTACTAAGATAATATCACTCGTTAGTATACAATGACGACTGAACTGCACTATGAATAGATGCGTTCATTTTGTTGCATACTGGTCACTTGTTCCCATATCCACAATTAGAATTTATATATACATTAAGATGGAACAGTTTTTTTTCTAATGTTTAGTGATTCGCTATGTGAAATCAGTTGGGGATGAAGTATTCAGTATAGAGTTTTGTGAAAATTGCATAAATTGTCATTGTTTACGTCATTAACCTATGTTAACTAGACCATCGTTCGAAATCAGATATAACTATATCTCCATTTCGTTGTCGAATAGGATTTCTGGTTATTGCAAATGCACGACTGCTTCATGGAGGATAGAACCCGTAAAGTTTAGTCCTGTGTGTAAACGCTTAACCTATAGACCACTGAGCCTTGATTTAATAGTGTATAAATCTTAATGCAATCAAACCACGATATAACGCAACCATCTCTCATTGCCTGTGGTAGATAACTAACTGTCTTACAACTATCCTGACTGAACCATGGAATAATTGATTAAACTTAAGTAACTAATTACAATCACCTCATTTTCCAACAAAATTGGAAATAATATCAATCTAATTTCAACAATAAATAAACAAAATTGTTATGCCCCGATAAGCATAGTGAATGGTAACTTTTAGGATTCATAACGCAGAGGCTGAGATTGGTGTTCTGGACTTAAATAGCTTGGCTATGCAGAAAGCAGGACCAATGAGAACTCTAGACTGCTCGCAAGGGTTTTACACGTCATATGTCCGATCGATAATTCACTGCGGTATCGTTACGTTATACAATAAACAGGACACACACGTCACAATTTCTAACAAAAGTCAATAATGATTGTTTATGGAATATTGTTCCTTCTGTACTATTTACTGATAGTAACAATTAAATGAATAAACAGCTAATTATGACTAAACACCTTATAATAATCTGTTACCATTTCTTTCTCTATCCTCTATAATGTAGATGGCTAAAATTTTACCAACTGAAGAAAATTTTATTCTGTTGTTTCATCGGGATAATCCATTGGATTCAAGTGTTGAATTTATGAGAGTAAGTGCTACATAATCGATAAATTTCTTACATTCTTCCTATTTGTCATGAATAGAAAAACAAGTGTCAATTAAATATCATAAGATGAATGGTTTGTTTTATTTATAGTTTTAAGTAACCTTGAACTGTTGTTGTGTAATTAATAAAAGTTAAATGAAGAGACCTGTGTATGATAGTGATGATGTTTTGTGATTAAAAATTATTTTATTGGATTGACAAAATACTACTTACACTTTATCTTTTAGTAATAGAGGTAACATTGTTAAACAGAATACGAGATATTAAATGGTTGAAGGCAGTGGACAGAAAAACCTAGTTTTAGGTTTCGTGTTAGTTGAGATAGATTTGACAAGCATACCTATTATATGAAGAAACTAATTTTCCCTCGTGAATTCAAACCCTTATCAACCGGTAAATGAACATCTATATTTCTAGAAAAAATTAGTTGTTCCATCAGTAAACATTAAATTCTGGCTTTTACAGTGATGTTAAATATGTAAGTATAACTATTAGTTATGGACAAACCACTATGTTGGACAAAATGGTCACGCATTTCACTTATGGAAACATCAACACAAACTATTAATGAAATGATACGATGTAAACAACTAAAGAAATGGATTCAAATGGGAAAATACGAAACTACAGATCGATGAAATTTCTGTCATATCAGTTTCATCAAACATAAATAACCAATATTATATAATACTTGAGAAAATTTTGAAACAACTTACTGTCTAACCATTAAAGTCACTCTTTTTCATGTTTGGTAGTGGAAAAAAAACGAAATATTTTTCATTCAACACATGTTCGAAATCATTTATTTCATTTTCAGCAATTTGAAAAGTATCAACTTTAATCTGAGATCATGAGGCTGAAGGTCCCGCATGAAGGATTGTGGGTGTGCACTACTGAGAAGTTTCATACTGAGACGAAACAGTCGCCTAGTGTTTTCAGGTTTTGAATTGTGGTCTGAGATTGATCGGTCCGTAATCTCAACTGAATTATGAAAAGTATCAAATTTTATTTAATTCTGTCTAAAGGTTTTTAAAAAAAAACAACTTACTTGAGCTACATTTCAAGCTATTATCTTTAAGATATTTTTTACCAACTAAAAACACATAACTACAAAGTAGCACAGAACATTAATTGCTTATAAGCTGAATTGATGATGGCTAATAGTGGAATCCAGTGTGATGCGTGTTTCGTCCTATTTGAGACTCGTCAGTTAGATGCACCTGCATCTCAGGATTCATACTCATTCTGGAATTCGAACCTACAGAATAATTTGATATCCGACGTGTTTTAGTTAATAAATAAATACACTATGTATATTATTTGAGCGGCTACATCAGATGCTTAAAAAATTCAAGGCATTAGTTAATTAACAATAATATTAATAGTCACAATAGGATGTGGGATGTCTAGTGGAAAAAGGTTAGGATAATCACAAAGAACAAAATGAGAACAGAGTGTGATTAATATGGAAATGAATAACTAACAAAGTCTAAGAGAATTGATAGATATTTTACAAATGAAATATTTACTCTATGGTTCTCAAATTTTACCATGATATTCTGTAATGTTATTATTAAAGTACATTTGGTTGTTACCGACTTTGTTTTCATTCATCACAACAGTTATAATATAAGTTAATTGACATTTCCTATTCATACATTTATTTCTTTAGAATGACAACAAATGAAATGATACAAGTAGAGACTTTTAATGGAATAAATAAGGAGAAGTATTATCTGATATATGTATATGTATATATACATATTGACATTATTGTAACTAAATTCAACTTAACAATACACTACATTAATCAAAATGAAACAGTCATAGGTGTTATTTTAATATGACTTATTCTAATGCAAAACCAAAACAAAATATCTTGCCTAGTTGACAAGGAAGAATTATTGTTCATTCTTGTTGGCTTCAATCCCCTTTAGATATTTGTCTATATTTATGGATTACGCTGGAGGTTGTTTTTTCAATATTCCTGTTAAATTCTATTGACATTAAGTGAAAATTTTATAGTTTAGATGTTTAGTCATTGAAAAAAAAACCCTGTGGGAAATGACAATTAAGAACAGGGGTAATGTCCTATGATTACAAGAAACAAAACTAGTATGAATGAAAACTACCTGTTTGTTATAATTGATATTTCATTTATTATGTACATAATAATAATAATAATAATAATAGTTATAATCATATGCTCATTAGTGACTAATTTCAAGATGGATTTCGTGGAGTTCTAATGAGCAACAGTGACCAGTGGAGTCAAATCCGCGTAGGGTATGAGACAGTTATTTACCGAAGACAATGAATGAAGGAATGAGCAAGATCATGGATCGATTGAAGTTAGACATTAACACTGATGGATATCGTCTCAATATTCTAGAGGTTCAGCGTCTATGAGCGAAACTGATGGTTGTGGATTAGAGTCCCACGTTTTGAATCGTGGATGTGCAATGCTGGTGAGTCTCATACTAGGACGAAACGGTCGTCCGTTGCTTCCAGGTTTTCAATGGTTGTCTAGCTTACATGAACCCACAAATAAAACTAATAAAATTACTACAATCTCCAAAAATCCATATTCTGATAATAAATAAACATATTAATTAGTATCTACTTTGCAACTTCTATCAATTATACTTCCATATAGTTATAATATAACACTGTCTTCTAATAAATAACACTTAGGGAAATTGTATACTGTCATCAGTTCATCCTATCAAACTTATTATGTAAAGACTCACCAACCTGAATTATATTTAAATTGAAAATCTCTGAAGTTATTGTTTATTAAATAATGATATCAATTTGGATACTATTTAAAACCGGAGAGATTGACAGATAAAAGAGAAAAATAGTGCTTATAATTTCACTCAAGACTGTTATTTATTTGTTTGTTTATCTATATCAGGAGGGTTTTTTGTGGATATTGTAGTAATTACAATCGTTGAGATCAAGAGTCAATTCAAGCTGGATCACCACGGAAAAGCTGGAAGCAATGAAATTCAACCGCGTCTGTTGTGAGATAGTAACTCATTGAAGACAATAGCGGATGTTTAAAGCAATTGATCCCTTTGATAAATTTCGATAATGTAATAAGAAGACTTCTTATTACATTATCGAAATAGCGGATGTGTCACTCATTTTCATGAAATAGTTGAAGTTAGACATTAACACCATTGGATGCTGGCCTAGAGATTGAGTGTTCGCGTGCGAGGTCGATAGGTCCTGGGTTCGAATCTCACGAGGTGGCATCGTGGATTCACACTACTGAGGAGTCCCACAACAGAACGAAAGTGCTGTCCGGTGCTTCAAAGTTTTCCATGGTAGTCTAGCTTCAACTGACTCATAATCTCAACCATTGAAATTATTTACTGATTTAAACACATAAACATTGGTACAAAGAGGCACCAAATAGATATGAACCACATAAATCATTTGATTTGTTTGAGGGTTGAGATACTGAATCGACAAAATAACTTTGAAACCATTCAATCAGTGTATGGTCTAGCATAATAACTATCTAGAATAATCAATGATTAACAATCATATTCTTTTTCAAATTCCACCTATGGGATCATGGATACTTACAACTGATGAATTATAAAATAGAACAAAACAGCCGTCTAATACTTTCAAATTATCAATGATGATCTAACATTTATCGATTTTTATGCACTGCTGAGGAGTCCCACAATAGGACAAAATAGTCATTCAATGCTTCCATATTTTTTTTCATGGTAATTTAGCTTTAACTGATTCATGATCTCAACTATTGAAAAATATAATTAAAGGTCTATTAAAGTTAACACGTTTATCTATCACATTTTGTAAGTAAATTTATAGTGAACATATAAACAAACAAATAAATAAACAAAATCATGAGTCCGTTGAAGCTAGACCACCATTGAAAACCTGGGAGCACCGTTTCGTCCTGGCACGGGACTCCTCAGCAGTGAGCATCCACGATCCCGTACCTCGCGGGTCTCGAGCACTTAACCACTAGACCACTGAGCCGGCATCCAACGGTGTTAATGTCTAACTTCAACCAATCCACTAAGTTGCTCCACCGTACACCACTGTCTTCAGTGAGTTGTTATCTCACAACAGACCGGTTGAACTCCACTGGTAACGGCTTCTCATTAGAACTCCAGGAGTTTTTTTTGAAGTCAGTCACTAATGAGCAGTTGATTATTATCAGAATGGGTTTTGTGGAGAGTTTTAGAAATTTTCACAGGTTGAAATCATGAGTCAGTTGAAGCTAGACCACCATTGAGGAGTCCCATACCAGGACGAAACGGCCGTCCAGTGCTTCCAGGTTTTCAATGGTGGTCTAGCTTCAAATGACTCATGATTTCAACCTGTGAAAATTTCTAAAACTCTCCACAAAACCCATTCTGAAAATAAACAAAATTAAATTATTTCTAATTCCTTAACCTTGTATAAATTATTCAAATGAATAATGATTATTATTTGTGAATATGAAACTAGGACAAAATGGGTATTCAATGTTTCTAGGTTTTAGTTTTTCATTTCATTTCAAGTATATCAATATTCTTTCTTTTTATTGTTAATAATTCAATTGATTTTTTCACAGTAATGAAATAGTAAAATCAGAAATATAAACAAAGATAGATAATGGTTAGCAGTGAAAATCTAGTTTGATGAACGTTTTGTTCTATTTGAAACTCATCAACTGGATAAACTTACATCTCAAAGTTGATGTTCACTGTAGAACTGTAAGACTCAGTAGCTGAGTAGATAACGTGATGGTATTTGAAGAGAATAGTACTGGATTCGAGTTTTTGAGTGAATATCAATTTTAAGATGAACGTACATCCAACTAGTGAGTCTCGAATAGGACGAGACAAGCGTCCTGGATTACACTGTTAGCCACTATCGATCTTTGCTTAAAATGCTCGTGACTTAAGGTAATATCGAGACAATACGCACAGTATGCACATATACCAATAAGAGATTGAATAATTGCAGTCCTAAACAACAATAGGTAGATACAACCAAGCATTACTCAGTGAATTATTACGTATTGTTTATGTTATAACTTGTGCTCAGTGTCCTATTAATGTACAACGTGATGATACCGCAAATTAGAGAACAGTGAATTATCGATCGGGTCAATGACATATAATATCCCTACGAGCAGTCTAGGGTCCTTATAGTTTCTGCTTCCAGCCTAGTCCTGCCTGTTACGTCCAGAATACAAATCTCAGCCTATGAGATGCGAATCATTTGTTTCAAACATACTCGATTTATATACCAACCAGACAAACCATATCGTACTGTAAAATAGCAAACAACATTTGTACAATATTTAGCCAAATGTGTCTGTGAATTTGGAAGACTGTAATTAATATACTGGGAATAACTTAATAATGTTAAATCGTATAATAACACTTCATAGGTCACAATAAAGCTCATAATAAGATAGACACTAATATAGATAGTTTAGTTACTTAACAATTATACAATAAATATATACGTACAGTATTGATCCATAAATGGATTCCAACAGTTACCATTCATTATTCTCATCGGGATATAACAGTTTACGTCATTAGTCTATGTTAACTAGACCACCGTTTAAAACACGATATAATTATACCTTCATTTCGTTGTAGTATTGAATTCCTGGTTATTTCAGATGCACAACTCTTGCATGAAGGATGAAACCCATAAAGTTTAATCCCGTGTATGAACACCTAACCTGTATATCACCAAGCCTTGTTCAAATGATGCACATGTTTAAATGCAAGCGCAACCATCTCTTGTTCATAGGATCACTTTATGTAAAAAATGCTAACGGTATAGTTGACTACATGTGATAATCTGTCTATAAAAGAAAATCATTAATCAATAATCCTATTTTATACAAACCCTATATTTACAGAATAGGTTTTGTGGAGATTTTAGAAACTTCACAGGTTGAAATCATGAGTCAATTGAAGTTAGACATTAACACCGTTGGATGCCGGCTCAGTGGTTTAATGGTTAAGTGCTCTTGCGCGAAACCATTAGGCCCTGGGTTCGAATCCCGCGAGGCTCGGGGTCGTGGATGGGCACTGCTGAGGAGTCCCATACTGGGACGAAACGGCCGTCCAGTGCTTCCAGGTTTTCCATGGTGGTCTAGCTTCAAATGACTCATTATTTCAACCTGTGAAATCCTATATTTATTTCTCTATAAATCATATCATAAAAGATCATATTTTAATTTAATCACTGTTTAGATATTAAAAACGATTCTGTTTTTTTCCAATAATAATAAATAGTTAGCAACTTATCACATAACTAAAATGATCAAAACTACAATCTCCCCCCCCCCAATTTTTTTTCGGGGGTGGGGGAGGAAAACCCGAAAATTTTTCCCCAAAATTGAGAGATTGGGATTATGATAAAAATCTATACATCATTTTAAATTTACATATTCATAGTCATATTATTTATCCATATAGTTACAATAATGTTATTCTCTTCTCTTTTGTTTTTCTTGAATTCACTAAATCAACTGTGAGCAGTTTTGTGATCTCTTAACAATCTTTAAATATAAAAAAGAGATCAAATTAAAAAAATCGGTTCACATAGTTTTCTTTTTTAAGATAAAATAGTTCAATAGGGTTTGTAGGAAAAACAACTTAACCAATAATATATCCTATATGGGAAACTGAAGGCAGTTTACTATGTGGTACATTAGAAATCATGAAATAGAGTGTTTCCAGCCTAAAGAAGATTAGTAAAGATTTAAATAGTTTGAGGGAAACTTATTCAACATTCTAATTGTTTGTTGTGCGGTTCAAAGTGTATAGAATTGATTGGTCTATTATAAATTAATGATAATCATTATTGACTACTGTTATGCAGGATTTCCACTGATCACCATTAACTACCTGTCTTTAAATAACTTGTCTAACGACGTCGATTTATTCACGCTAATGATTACAGCACACATTTATCACTTTGATAGGCAATAAAAGCTGGATAACATAATACTGGTAATTTGTACCAAAGGGATTAAAATGTCTCCGTTTTTAAGAATTGATGATAAATGAGATCATATGTCACGACAAAATACATGGATAATTATCAGAATGGGTTTTGTGGAGATTTTTAGAAATTTCACTTGTTGAAATCATTAGTCAATTGAAGCTAGACCACCATGAAAATCCTGGAAGCATTAACACCGTTGGATGCCGGCTCAGTGTTCTAGTTGGATAAGCGCCTGGCGCGAGACCGATAGCTCCTGGGTTCGAATCCGGCGGGGAGCGGGATCATGGATGTGCACTGCTGAGGAGTCCCATACTAGGAAGAAATGGCCTTTCAGTGCTTCCAGGCTTTCCATGGTGGTCTAGCTTCAAATGACTCATGATTTCAACAAGTGATATGGATAATTATTTTATTTTTTGATTTTATCCAACTCTCATGTAAACCAAATTTTGTCATGAGATCAGCCAGAGCATTGATTAAATGTAAAGAACGCTAATTCTATGTCTTATACCTAACTTGAGACATCTCATTGACAAAATTCAATACAACAATACAGGATCAAATTAATGTAAAGAGTGAAACAATGAGATACAGTTGGATTGGATAATTCTCACAAAATATTTTAAACAGAAAATCTGCAGAATACCAACTGACTACAACAAAAGTACCACACTTAACATAAAACCATAGTGTTCTAAGCTATTCATTGTACCTCATTTTTATTTACATATTACGGAGTATATCAAGAAACTATTTATCAACTTGTGAATAAGATTTTTACTGGCCCGAGATCTGACTCCAGGTAGATCATTTGTTGCATGTCATCGAAATATATATGTGAGCTACCTTCGTATATAATTGTTGACTTAATTCGCGTTAGTGAATAACGAAATCAAATAAGACAAATACTAGAATGAAGTTCGAATACGTATATTTCATACAGTCATAGATCCAGATAGACGATCAAGGAAACGAAGCAAAGAAAGCGAAAAGGACAATGCGAAAAGATGCGCAATGGAGAAGGAGTGTGAGCCAACTTGATTTAGCCAAGAGTGAATCAATACTTATCATCGAACAAAACGTTACAGACACATAATGAGTAAAGTAAGCAGATAGCACGCATACGATCATACACAATCAGGATTATTAAGCGAATAAGTGACAGTGTAAAAATGTGAATTGAGAAGAATGAACCTAGCAATTAATTATGATTTTCAACCTGTCATATTCAAGAAGAAACATTTTTGAGTGTAATTATCACATTGTTATGCTTACTACATGTGTTATTCTTTGATTTCTCACTTCCTTTTTATAGGTGTGGAAACGTTTTGATAAAGATAGAAGTGGATATATTGAAGCTGATGAATTGAAAGTAAGTGATCAATATGTTTTAATAGTTGAATTCATGAGTCGATCTAAGATAGACCACCATTAAAAACCTGGCAGCACTGGATGGCTGATTCATCCTAGCAAGAGACCCCTCAGCAATACGCGTTCATGACTCCGCACAAAGGATTAAAACCTAGGACGTTCGGTCTCGCGCGTAAACACTTAACCTCTAGCCTACTTAGCCGGCATCCATAAATCCAATATAGTAACCTATTATTCATTTAATTAATTATTAAAGATGAAAATTTTTTTCAAAATATTTACTTGGTCAATTTTCAATCATTGCAACTAGATATCCTGAATGAATGAATTGAATGGTTACTTGATTCTTTTTATTTGTTTTAAGATACATAAAGTGTGTGAACGAATCAAATGTTTAATGGAATATAACACATAATATAGAATTAATATGGTGTAGGAATAGGTTGAAAGAAAGTTAGGGGCGGTCAGACCAAAACATGGCACAAATCCATGAAGTCATTGACAAGTGAATTGAGCCACGTTGGTAGGTGTAGACTAACTGGTTAGGATCCACGACACGATAGCAACCGATGGTCAGAAACGTTGGATGACCTGGCTCAAAATCATTTGCAATGGCTCAGGTGCATCCACTCTTTGTGTTCTCACAAATTCTAATCTTCTGAATTCTCCATGTCGCTCATTTTTTCTCTTTTTCGAAATTCATTTCACTTGATTATACTCCTTGAATAACATCTTCAAACTCTAATTTTTCTGATTACTGCTTATGCTCTTACTACCTCTACCACTATGTGATTTGAATCAACAACTGCATCTCTGTGCTAATGTGGTATAGCGACTCCAACTGATGTACGTAAGTACGAAGGTCTACGTTGTTACTGATTGACTGACTTTAGATAATTCTATTGAAGTTATATTCCTTATCTATGTGACAATTGTATGTAACTTGTGGAAAATTATCTGAGGTGAAGAATTCTAGTTTTCTTCTATGTGACAATAGCATCGATAATAACACACCTCATTTGTGCAAACAGATGTTTTAAATTATCTTATTCAAGATGTATGTGATTCGATAATGATTTTATAGTCTCAAATGATATATCATGTTTTACATGCCTAATCACACGATCAATTTTTTGTGATATCTAAATCAATTACATAATTTACATGTAGTTCATATTTATGTCATTATGTCTTCAACAACTTATGTAACCATGTGTCTTCTATGTGTTTTCAACATTACGAAGGACCTGTACGGATGTTAAATTTTAGTTGATACTTATATTTAATTTGACAGACAAACAACTAGCATGAAAGGCCTAGATGCCTATTAACTTATATTTTTATCTTCATATCAATCTTTTGTTACTTGTAATGTCATTCAAAGTAGTATATGTCATGTAAATAACTAGAAACTCTATCATTTACTTGGGATTCATAAGAATATAATTTCTTTTTATAAGCAACTTGACTAGAAAATATTTCATTGCATGCATACAATGGTAGATATCTTTATACATCATGTTATGAGAGTACAATAATCTCTATAAAATAAATATAACTTTTTGAGACTAAAATTTATGGACGACCATTGAGCGACATTAAAGTGACCATGAACATGTCTACCTACTTCCTAGTGTTAAATGAGGGTTATAAACCAGTGTAAGGAATTAGTATTTTGATTTACAATTGATGGTTACGGTTAGGGTTTTCATTGCGAACTAACATAAGCTGTAATATCGAAACGCTATTTAACCGAATGGATGAATGAATTCCATGACCAAAATCTATAACCTGTCATCGTAAATCTGATTGGTTCGTCCATAAATTATAGTCTCGCTACCTTGATCCTATACAATGATGAATCAGTAACTGTTCAACTGTAATTAATTTTAAAAATCTTAAAAATTAAACTATTATCAGAAGGGGTTTTGTGAAGATTTTAGTAATTTCAATAATTAAAATCGTGGATGCGCACTGCTGAGGAGTTCCATATTAGGACGAAACGGCCGTCCAGTGCTTCTAGGTTTTCCATAGTGGTCTAGCTCTAATTGACGCTCGGATAAAGGAAGGGGGTCGGGCATGGGGTTGGCTATCCCATCTTGTAGAAAACTAATTCACTAGAAAAACGCTAACCAGGAAAATAAAATAATTCAAACCATTTTTCAAACCATAACTTAATAAAATAGTTATATCTAACAAATCAGAAACATCAATTCCATGGGTATAGTTTTAAAACTAATACTATGCTACAGACTAAAACAAGGTAACTGTCACTTATCCGTCAGCTAAATCAACTACAATGTTTTTTCTCTTATTCGTAAAGATTGACGTTTCCTAAAGGAATTTTTACAAATTTAGATATTGATGTTTTATCCCAGAGTAGGTTAGTGTATCTTCTTCATAAACCTTATTCGACTGATATTGATTTCTAGAGAAAACGAGTTTCATTTACAATTAAATTAGCCGGAAATCATAAATATCTTATTTAGTATAGTAAACGTGAATAGATTAATATTTTCATTATTATTTAAGAATCAAAATAACCATAAATAAAGGTGGATGGTGGTTAGCAATGGAATCCAGCTTTTCGTTTTGTTTTAGACTCATCACGTGAATGTACTTTTATACCAAAGTTGATGTTCACTCAGGGATTCAAACCTAGTACCGTTCACTTCAAACATCATTGCGTTATCCATTTAACTACTGAATCCTGATAGCCACTAGCTTGTGCAATGGGATGAATTATCAGCTAATTTTGTATTGTTTGTTTGAATCTCTCTAATGATGTTTAGGACTGCAATTGATCAGTCTCTTGTTGGTATATGTGCATCCAGTGAGGATTACCTCGATATTGACTTAAGCCACAAGCTTTATAAGTAATGAGAAGATATAAGCAAACAATACCAAGTGAATTTAAAATAACCATAAATTAAAAAACATCGGGTGATCGTAAGAAAACTTTAACACAATTTAGAAAATATTTTTCAACCAGGTGAAAATTGACTAAATTATTTTGTTGACTTATTTAGTTTACAAATCTACAAAAATAATGCCCAAATATAAAGGGAAAAAACACTTTTTGAGTTATTATAACTATCAACTTCCGTTGTTAGGTTAGTTTATAATAAGAAAGATTGATTTAGCAAAGAATTCTCTTTCCGGCTCCAACATGATTTCCTGGAATTCTAGTTAGAAGCCTTGACTAGTAAAGTCCAATCCATGTCGGGTAGAGACAGGTATCTATCTGAGACAATGGATGAACGAAATTCATGGATCGATGGAATTTAGACATTAACATCTTTAGATCCCGGCTCAGTGGTCTAGAGGCTAAGCGTCCACATACGAGGTCAAGGCCCATGGATACTTACTGCTGACGAGTCCCGTACTAGGACAAAACTGCTGTCCAATACTTCCGGGTTTTCAATGGTGGTCTTACATCAATCGATTTATGATGTCCATCAAAAACTTAACAATCTCCACAACATCATACTGATTATAATTCATTTTCATACTTGTACAATCGCAACTATGCATACTTGTTTTTCAAGATGATAATTACAATAATAATGATAATGAACTTCCGCCTATTTTTTGCCACACCAGGTTAGTTTCTAACAGGGAAATCTTAATGATTTATTTGGTTTAGCTTATCCAGTAGAAAGTGGAAATCATTCAACTTGAAAGTATATCCAAATGAATTCATGAGTCGATCTAAGCTAGACCACTGTGGAGAACCTGGAAGCACTGGACATCCGTTTCGTCCTAGTGTAGGACTCCTCAGCAGCAGAGTTCCATACTAGAACGAAACGGCCGCTCAGTGGTTCCGCGTTTTCAATAATGGTCCAATACACGAATTCAACTATTGACATTACTACAATCACCACAAATCCCCATTCTGATAATCTGGAGTTGAACAACACACAAATTCGACCTTTCAAGATACACTTCATATTAAGTTTAATGTATCATAGAGCCATTCAATCTAATTATTTAATTAAGTATTTTGAAGAGTTTTAGACTGTTAATCTGACATAGGCTGGATAATAAACAGCATTAGCTCATAAGCAAAGATGGATGATGACTAGCAGCGGAATCCAAGACGCGCGTTAGCTCATTTTACTAGTAAACACAAAAAAGTTGCATTACATAACTTATTATATCATAAATGAATATTAATTAAAAATAAAAAATAATAGCAAAACAGATGTCGACTTCTTTCTAGCTTTTTTTCGATGAAGTTTTGTTCTCCGAGTTGAATGGTATAGTCATAGATCTTTCATCCCTCTTCTGAACGACATCATCAGAACCTACAAATCTTCTTCAACATCTTACTTCTTCCTAGTTTTAAATGATAAGTATATGTGTTATAACTTCTGGCATGTTTCCTATTAGTGCATAACGTGATGATACCGCCAATTACAGAACAGTGAATTATCGATCGGATCAAATGGAGCATAAAACAAGTACAAGCGGTCTAGAATCTTTATAGTTCCTGCCTCCTACCTAGTCCTGCCTGTTAAGTCCAGAACACAAATCTCAGTCTCTGCGATATGAATCATGTATTTCAAACATACTGGGTTTATATGTAAACTAAACAGATCACATCTCACTACAAAATAGAAAACAACACTTGTACAATAGTTAGCCAAATGTGGCTGTGAATTCGGGAGACTGTAATTGATAGACTGGGTATAACTCAAGAATGTTAAATCGTAGAATAACAGTTTATGGGTCAAAATAAAGCTCCTAATAAGAGGAACACGAATATGATAAGTTTAGTTACTTAACAACTGTACGATAAAAATACACGCATAGTATTTGTCCATAACTTGGTACCAAAAGTTACCATTCATTATTCCCATCGGGATATCACAATATGTTAGATAGTTCGATGCCAGTTTACTATAAAGTTTATCTATGTTATGCGCCAATGAGAATCATAATTCAGTCAGTCCATTGTAATATGTACTAAATAACTTAAATATATAGACACACTATTGTGAAAAGTACTGATTACAATATTATCATCTTAAAGATATAGAAAATTTCTAAACACATCACTGTACAAAGTTTTCTCTATTTTACCAAGTAACTCGGTAAACTATGTGCTACATATCGATTGTCCTCACCTGTATTCCTCCTCACTACAACATCACTGTGTAGTAAGTATTCGCTAAATTATAGTATCTCCTGACTTGCTTCACTAGCCTGATACAAATACGCAAACTTCATAGTGTTAAATGCCTTCAATTTATTTCTCAGTAATAAACCATGTGTGATGTAGGGTAATGTGCGTCATGTGAGAACGAATCCTGATGGTATGAATCAGCGTCTGTCGCATTCTTACAGTGCACCAACACATTTTTAAGTAAGAATCTTCTAGTTTCAACCCCTTAATTCATTCAGCTTATTCAATTATACTTCTAACTTACTAGACTTATCCCTATGATATTCCTTCACGTTCCTTGATCAGTCCTGAAAAAAAAGCAGTATAAACAATGCAACGTAAGAAGACTATCTAGAGTAGATTAAAAAATATGATCACAGATGATGAAAATGCGAGTGATGTATTTTAACGCTTACGATGTAGTGTATTTATGGCAATGAGAATGATTCCATAATGAAATTCTTACAATCACTTGAATATAAAATCTATACAATCCAAATTATGTGTTAACTATAATATGCTATTTAACCTGTAATAAATATTGATCTATTTTCTGTAGTCATTTCTTCTACACTTACTGAAAGAAGCAAAACCGGAAACTAATATTGAAGAAGGAAAATTAATTGAGTATACTTCATCCATCGTAAGTTGATTTCTTCTTTTTTTTCGGGGGGGGGGTCCATATTTTCTGTTAATAATATATCACTCTTTGATATTCTATTGGTTATAGTTTTATTCATTTTATATGAAATGAATGTAAAATAAAAGTACAATTATGAAAATATTGTCATACAAATCATATCGTTTTTTTTATAAAATTGAGAGAATGAAAAGTAAATGTTTGACGTTTTAATCAGGTTGGTGGATATGGAGGGTCCACCTAGGGGAGTTAGAAAACCCTGATTCCCAACCAATGGTGCACATGGGCCCCAGGGTTAGGGTTAAATCTTCATTCTCTGTACCAACAACCTTCAGGTCACAAGTCGAACAATTAATTTCTCGAACATTACGTAATCATCGTAGACGGATTGAATTAAAACATTTTGACTATTAGACTAAGCCATTCTTTTAAATGTCATCAAACGATCTAGAAGTTTGAAAGGACTTTCCAATTACAAAAAATACCAGAGTAATCATATATGAATTAGCTGAAATAAATTAAAAAATTCATCATTTAATTAATAAATTTAGGCTTCAATTAGGTCACTGAGATTAATTTAGTTATCCAACATGTTGGTAAACAATCATCGTATTTTAATTCTACACATTTAATGGTAATAAAATTAACCCAAATTAACTTTACATTATTCAGTCGATAAAAAAATTAATGTCTAACCTTAACCAATCCACGAAGTCGCGTGAACATCCTCCATTGTACTGACTTAGATACCTGTCTCTACGCGACACGGATTAGCTCCACTAGTCACGGTTTCTCACTAGAACTTCGAGAATTCCCTTATGAAGCTAGTCACTAGTGAGCACATGGTAATTATCAGTATAGAGTTGTGGAAGTTATTAAGTTATTGGTTGAGATCATGAAACGATCGATGTTAGGTCACCATTGAAAACATGGAAGAACTGGACGACCGTTTCGTACTATTGTGGATCCCCTCAGCAGTGTGCATCCATGGTCCCGTTTGCGGGATTCAAACCCAGGGCCTTCAATCTCGCGTGCGAACGCCCAATCGCTGTGTTAATGTCTAACCTCAACTATTCCACAATGCACACTGATGAGGAGTCCCACAATAGGATGAAACGGCCGTCCAGTGCTTCCAGGTTTTCAACGGTGACCTGAAATAGATCGTTTCGTGACTTTATTTAATTGCTTAATAATCTCCACGACCCTATACTGATAAAAAAATTATAATGTTCGCTCATGTATCTAACTAACTAAACATACTGAGACAGAACTACGTTTTTGATAAGTAAACTACTGTAAAGATTTTTATGTGAAAACATTTACATTTGCCTAAAGTATATTTTGTGATTAATATCACGGACTGATTTCAGCAGAACAGCCATTAGAGCCCATGAGTTAGTAGACAGCCGTTTTGATCTAGAATAGGATTACTGGATATTGGCTGAACGGTCTAACTGTCAGGAGCTTGAGAGGAACTTAAGGTCATTTGTTCAATCCTTAGTGGTATAGTTATGGATTTACATTACTGAAGTGTTCTATGGAATGACAAAATAGTTGTTTAATGCTTCGTGATTTTCAACGGTTTTTTCAACAACAATTAAATCACGGCGCTAACGATGATATACAACTTCCTCCCTAAACCACTTACAATAGATAAACATTTTAAAAGAAAAATGAAATATTCATATTTGTTAGGAATATTTTCTACTTAGGCATAAAATAACGAAACTTTAAAATGAAGAACCTAATGAAAGCTTGTGTTAGGTCGTATAGAATTTGAATACAGATATCTGACGTATTTTGAATAACCTTAGGAAAAATCTATTATCTGTTTAACTTATGTTACTTCGGTGAGACTATAATTTATGGACGAACATTGAGCGACGCTAAAGTTACCTTAAGAAGATCCACCTACTAACTAGGACTAAATGAGGGTTATAAGAATTTACAGTCGATGGTTAGGGTTACGAATTAGATTTATGGTTTTCATCACGAATTGACATAAGTTAAAATCTCAAAACGCTCTTTAACTAAATGTAAGAATGAATTTCCCGCCCAAATCTATGACCTACTATCTTAAATCTGATTGGTTCGTCCATAAATTATAGTCTCGCCAAAATCTGTTAATTAATTTGAAAAATTATAAAATCTTACTCTGAAGATATTCATTTAATGATTCTTACTTCTAACAATCAAATAAATCCATTCTGACAATCAGATGTTCATAGATTTAATTCTATGTTAAAGATTGATCAACCGTCAGTCAGATATCATCACTATAGAGACTAATAAAGATGTAAGTTATCTTAGACTACTAGTAAATCACATTAACACGACAAGATGAAATTGACGAGACGAATTACTAAAAAAGATCGAAATTAGGTAGTATTAATCATAGTGAGAACCAGTGAACATTTGGAACACGGTTTGAAAAAGTAAAGTGAGAATGCATATATGATCATACTAAATTTTTGACATTCACCGTATAAGCAAATCATTGAATGAAAAGGTTTTCATTTATTTATTGTATTCTAAAAACGTTTACATTGGAATTCAAGATTTGATCAAGGTTAATGAATGAATGCTCCTGTGCTATTGTGAACGATTGTGAGTTGAAAAAGTATTCATAAAAGTGCATATCGAATTATTTAAAAGAAGAAAACAGGACAGTGAAAAAAACATGAACTAACAATGCACTAATTACAGTATATGCATTTAAAAGTCACTTTGTATTGTTTATTTGAATCTTCCCATTGATCTTCATGACTGCAATTGATCAGTATTTTATTGATATATGTAAATCCTATGTGGATTGCCCCGATATTGCCTTGATTTTCATGCATTATAAGCTTGAATAGATGATGACTAGTAGTGGAATCCAGTTTGATGCACGTTTCTTCCTACTTGGGACTGGTCAGCTTGATGTATCTGCATCACAGAGTTGATGTTAACTCAGGGCCTCGAATCCAGTAATTACTCATAAAAGTATTTGATAGCAGTTAATGTTGTGGTAACAGAAATTAAAGACTATTTAGTTATCAAAATTACAAGTTAAAACAGTTTGGTTTTGAATATTTAGTTGTATAGTATAGCACAGTTTACTAAATGATATTTTAGCAACTTACAATCAATATTGTTTATGGTTAATTTTGTCAAACACTTTTATTAACTTATTTGACAGACATTGTTATTCGCATAGTAACAATTCACTCATTTCTTTCTTTTATTATCATCATTATTATGTTTGTATAAATGTGTAGGCTTGATCAGATGTGACAGCCTATGCACATATATCTCTCTAGATTAAATGTTGATATTGACTATAAATTCACCTCTGTATTCGTTCTCTCGCTCACACATGTAGTAGCCTTTCTGCTGCAAATTAGTTCGTTATGCTTGTAACTTTATTATACGTTTTATCCACTAATAAACTGTAGTCGCCGCTTCTTATTATTTCTTGAATTCAAACACCGTTTGAGGATTTATATACTACTGATTATCATGGGGATTGATTAACGAAACTAAGACACTACAATCTAACATGATGATACATGACACATTGTAGAAATTTTTTAAAATTCTTTAATAAATGCAGAAAAAACTTGTTGTATTTAAATTGTTCTGAAGTTCGTCATTATTCTTTTCATTTCATTTTGTAAAGCTCCAGTTATTCGATCAAAATAAAGATGGTAAACTTCAACTCAGTGAAATGGCAAGGTAAATTTTTTTTCAAATACATATTAAATATTAATAGGTATGAATACATATATCAATACATATACTTACTGCCTTCTAGTGGTTGGGGTGTTGTTTATGAAACTCAGAGGACAAAAAGCGAACGTCCAATGCTTTAACCGAATTGGTGGACACGGAGAGTACACCTAGGGGAGTTGGAAAACCTTGATTTCAAGCCAATCGTGCAAATGGGCTCCAGGATCCGAAGGAAACAAATGGCGTATGAACCAATTATTGGTTACCGGCTACCACTGCCTTGTGGATTAGACCTTTAGGTCTAAGGCTCCTTGTGTGCCCCCCTCCTAAAGAAACCACGTGCTTTGGTCTGGTCACCAAGGCAGTATAATCGCCCACATACAAATGAAGTGGCATGTGTGGCGCATATGTTTTCGGTGCCCCTTAGTACTAATATTTATGTGTTTAAATAAATAAATAAAATAAAATAGTAATATCAATTCTGTTTACCAACATTATTTTCATCTTGTATTTGATATTACTGACAATCCTTGATACAGGGATTCAGTCAAAATAATCTATGAATTGTATTGTTTCAAAATATATAACCTTATCTCTCCTAAGTGGTATCATTCCTTTTGTAGTGTAGTAATCGATCCAGTTTGTCATTGTATATTCTCTAATCATTACTTTGAAGAAAAAAACAGTTGTTAGTTGTATTTTGTCAGATAAATATTGCTTATTGAACTTTAATGATCAACTTACGATTAAGTCACTAGGCTACACAACTCGACTTTGTTATATGATATGTTTCATAGTAGACAGATCAAGGTAATGATTAGAAATCTTTGAAAATCCATCTTCTAATGGCTAACCTAAGTGAATGATTCATGTAGAAGCCTACCCTGATTATACTTTACAGAATGATATTAAAATCATATTGGACGCTGTGATATAAAAACAGTGAATATTATTATTATTATTATCATCCAAAAATCGGTTTGTGGAGATTGTAGTAATTTCAATAGTTGAAATCATGAGTCAATTGATGCTAGACCATCATACAAGACCTAGAAGCACTGGAAGGCCGTTTCGTCCCATTGTTGGGCTCCTCAGTTGAAGTTAGACATTAACACCGTTAGATGCCGGCCCGGTGGTCTAGTGGTTAAGAGTTCGCGCTCGAGACTGACTGGTCATGGGTTTGAATCTCGCGGGGCGGGGTCCTAGACTCACTGCTGAGGAGCCCCAAAATAGGACGAAATGGTCGTTCAGTCCTTCCAGGTTTTCCGTGGTGGTCTTGCTTCAATTGGCTCATGGTCCCAACTACTGAAATTATTACTATTATTACTATTAAGTAGAGTATGCTTTCCTATTTACCACCGTTATAAGCAAGATGTTGTTCAAACTAACATTATTTATATTGTAAATGTTATTTATATCATAATAATCATCATCATTAACCATTATTTTCAATAATTCCAACTCTTTTTAGACTACTTCCTGTTAAAGAGAATTATTTATGCAGACCAATTTTCAAGGTAATCTTAATCAAACTCTTATGATTATATTATAATACTGTAGTAATATACATTTTGAGGTGGATAATGTAAATCAAGATATCTTCTTCTCATTGACACAAGCCAATAAAATGCCTATAAAGCACAAATGACAAACTGTAATTTTAATCTATTTAAACTGTTGGATCAATATGGAACATTCTTTCTCTCATGTTATGATACAAAGGATTTATAAGTAGTATAACTGTTATAACTTGTGCCCTGTGTCCTATTAATACATAAAGTAATGATACTGCCAATTAGAGAACAGTGAATTATCGACCGGACCAGTGACGCATAAAACCCACACGAGCAGTCTAGAGACCTTATCGATCCTACTTCCTGCCTAGCTCTGTCTGTTAAGTCCCGAACACAAATCTCAGCCTCTGCGATATGAATCATGTATTTCAGACATACTGGGTTTATATATAAACCCAACAGACCACATCGTACCAATAAAATAGGAAACAACATTTGTACAAAACTTAACCAATAGTAGCTGTGAATGTGGGAGATAATAATTGATAGACCAGGCATAACTCAAGAATAGTTAATCGTATATTAGTAGTTCATAGGTTAAAATAAAGCTCGTAATAAGAGGAACACGAATATGACAAGTTTAGTTGCTTAACAATTATACCATAAAAATATATGCATAATAATAATCCAGAAATAGATCCCAACAGTTATCATTTATTATTCTCATCAGGATATAACAATAATAAAATAATATTGTGTTTTCTTAAGCAGAATAATGGAATGAATATATTACTTAACTAATTTTAGTAAATAACAAGTAACATATACATCGATAATCTTTGAAGAATTTCTTCAAATATGTATTTCAGCTTAAAATACTATTATAACTTGTGACCACCTATTAGAGAGCAGTGAATTATCAATCGGTACAATGACGCCAAAAACCCGTAGGAGCAGTCTAGAGTACTTATCGGTCCCGCTTTCCGCTTAGTCCAGCCAGTTAAGTCCAGAACACCAATCTCAGCCTCTGTAATATGAATCACTATATTTCAAAAATACTGAGTTTATATACCAATCAAACAGACCACAACATAACATAAAATAGAAAATAACATTTGTACAAGATCTGACCAAATGTGGCTGTGAATGTGGGAGGCAGTGACTAGTAGACAGGGCATAATTCAAGAATGGTAAAACGTATAATAATAGTTTATGAGTCAAAATAAAGCCTATAACAAGAGGAATATGAATAGTTTAGTTATTGAACAATTATACGGTAAAAACATAAGTTCAGTATTAGTCCATAAATGGATCCTAAAGTTACCATTCATCATGCTCATTGGGACATAACAAATACATGTAAAATAATAAACAGAGAATCAAATTAATCATCTTCTAGACCAATTAGAAAGGTAGTAGTTAATGTAAATAACTTTGAAATCAATGAGATTTCAGCAAATTAATAGTGAATAAATGAGAAAATATTATATGTCATTATATATGATCTATTATTGTTGAATACAAATTGTTCTTGATTGATTTACCATGTGAATTCTTAAAGTGTACTGCTACTACTATTACTGTAGTGTGAGCTACTTATATCCACATAAGTAGTATATAACGATATTCAGACATAGAATGTATTTCAGTGGAAGATCGAGGGGGAAAGAACGAGAACGAAGAGCAGTTGGTATGGAAATGCATGAATAATGAAATCTGAGACTATAGACTGATATTTACAAAAGGAACAGTCAAGTTTGAGACGATGGATTGATAGTTTGCAAATTAACTATTTACTGCAGGGTTGTCAGATTTTAGTGAGATGTGCTGTAATTTTGTGCTAAATTACATCCGATTGTCCTCACTCGTATTCCTTTTTCACTACACTACTACTACTACTCCACTTTTAAATCGTTTACATAACTTGGTTTCAGAAGAACAGTAATAAAAGCTTCAACTGTTAGTCAACCTATAAATTGCATTTAATTGTATGATACTTAATGGAATTCTAGAAAACAAAATTAGCTTTAAAGCAGGAAGAAGCCAGATACAATGTTTCATTTTATAGTAACAGTTTGTAGTGTCGGTTCCTATGTTAAACTCATATTCTAGCATCTAAACAGGCCAATCTATCCATTCTTCCTGAATCACGTTTTGACCTTGCCACTTGTTCGCTTATTGACCCTAACTGTTTTTACATGAGCGTATGTGTGTGAACACTTATTATCCTATTCATCATATATCTTTAACTTATTTTTATTTGGCTATAAATATTGATTAACGCTTGATTAAATCATGTCGTCTAATCCGCCATATCCACAACATGACATTTCGTTTCGCTTCCTTCTTTTGGTTGTCTGCCTTGATCAATTATTGTACTTATTTAATTCTGTTGTTCACCAACGCGATTTAAGTCGATAATTATATACGAGGATTGACGATATACATCATCTTCTTTTGTCAAACGCATAGTTGAAACAGGTCATAAAATTGATCTTAACTCGACTTTTATGGTGTTGTACAAACTTGTAAAAGGGTGTTTACTAAAGTTTATTGTAGCTCTAGCTATACGAAAATTCAAACCCCGTCTGTGTATTCAAAGACAGTTTGTTCTCACCTGAAATCTACTCTGGTAATATTGACTTATTATTATCCAGAGTGATAAGGTTTCGAATTGTTTTCACATTATTTTCTTTATTATCCTTGTCTCTTCTTACCCTCCATTTCTATTCTAGTTGATCTTTTATTTTTTATATATAAATGTATTTACAATTGATTGATCACTGGGTGTTGATCAATGTCATGTATGTCAGGTCCTTGTTAGTGCAAATTGAATCCTATCGACCATGTTACAATATGGTCACTAGTCTAGTTGACTCGACATTACGTGCACTATGTTGAGATAAGATGACGGTTAACTATCTCCAACCACCATCTTATATATAAATGTTCTTAACAAGTATATGTGTGATCAGATTGCTTGAAATGTATTGAGTTAATATTGACACTATGGAAATTAATCAAAGGGATTAATTGCTTTATATTTATTTTTGTTATAGAATGCTTCGAAAATTACATCAGCTGATATTGATCGAGCATTTTCACTTTATGATCTTGTAAGTAAAATATTTGTTTTATTCATTTAGTTACACAGAGGTATACGATGAACTCTCCTGATCCATGGTAACTATTTCCAATTATAATTTAAAGATATCCTAGTAATCGCTATAAATTTCAAGTACTAAGTTCAAAGTAAACGGTCTACATTTCAAGCATTAATCTATTCATGAAATAGAATAATAATTATCCAATACTGTCGGTGACGTTTGTCTTACACTAGACATTGCTGAACTCTATTTATCACGGCTTTTGACTAGAAATTTAACGCTTCAGTGCTAGTCATTATCAGGTAAAGGTTTGTTGTTAATTTAAATCATCAAATTCATCGTACATTAACTAGTGACCATCATTGTTCTAATTTAAGCTCATAAAAAGTGCAGAATGATACTATTGCATTGAAATGGTTGTTGCTGATAGATTTAGATAATCGATACTTATGACGACTGACTTACTAACAATGTCATTGGTGATCATTGTTCTATGATTTCTCAACTTATAATCGCTTTGATCATTAACAGATATGAATATTCTAGAGTTTAATCCTTTATAAGATCGATTCGACGAATAGCTAAGAATGAAATAACTGTCCTTAAAATTTTCATAATCAGTGAATTTATCATCTAATATTAGATATTTTTAGAAAGTTTTCTTAAATCATAAAATTAGATTGTTTTTTATCTTTTTATGTTTGTTGAAGAAAAAAAGAAGCTCAACTGATCAATCATTTACTGATGACTTTTAATTTTAAATTATATAACATTGTAAATCAGTTTCAAATGTACAAATAACTGATCATTAAAAAGTGATCCTATGTTTGTCTAGTAATTTATTACCGATTGAATTCTCTGGATCAATGTACATTATCACTCTCTAGTCTAAGTGGCTCCAAATCGCATGCACTTACATACTTACGCCTGTTACTTTTCGTGGAGCACCATAGGCCACCCACCAGCACTCTCTATTCAACCGTGTTCTGAGCATTCCTTTCCAACTCTTTCCAGTTGTTATTCATCCTTCTCATGTCTGCTTCTATTTTCTGACGTAATGTGTTCTTCGGCTTTCCTCTTTTCCGTTTCCCTTCAGGATTCCAAGTTAGGGCTTTCCTCGTGATGCAGTTTGGTGATTTCCGTAATGGATCTCCTATCCATGCATGCACTATAATGAGATAAATAAATGTTTGAACGTAGGAAACATAAGGACCCTAAAAGAAGGTTTCCTGCAATCTAGTACTTGTTAGCTAGATTCACCAATAATCTTGAAAGTTTTGGTGATAGATGAGACTACAATTACCGCAGAGATACCTTCCTAATAAGTACCAACGGACATGATACGTGAATATAAAGCTTTATAACAACTACAATTGAAGAACATATAGAACTCAAAACAACTTTCAAACAATATCAAAGTCAGAATCTTCAATACGAACGTCAAGACAGCTCTACTGCACGGAGATGAAACTTGGAGAACTACTACAACCATCGTCAAGAAGGTACGAGTGTTTATAAATAATTGTCTACGCAAGTTATCTAACATTCATTGGCCGGATACCATTAGCAACAGTCTACTGTGGGAGAGAACAAACCAGCTTCTAGCTGAGGAGTTAATTAGAAAAAGACGATGGAAATAGATAAGACATACATTGTGGAAATCATCAAACTGCATCGCAAGACAAGCCCTAACTTGGAATCCTGAAGGGACGCAGAAAAGAGGAAGGCCATAGAACACAGTACGTCGGAAGATAGAAGCAGATATGAAAAGGATAAATAACAACTAGGAAGGGCTGGAAAGGATTGCTAAGGACAGGGTTGAATGGAGAATGCTGGTGGGCGGCCTATGGTCCTCCACGAGGAGTAACAGGCGTAGGTAAGTAAGTAATTGAAAACTAGGAAGTACTGAACACTCGTCTCGTCCTAGTATGTTACTCTTCATCAGTTCACATCTATGACCATTCATGAACGCTTAACTTGTAAACCAACGAGTCAGCATTCATTGATGTTTACACTTAACTTATAAAATTGTAGTTAAGTTAAACATAAAAATATTTCTTAATACAAATCTAAACTGATGAGGATAATTCATTAGGGATGATCATATTTAAATATAATCCAAGAAATATCTTAATAGTTGTAAGTTAGTTTGAATATTATTTGACCCTCGTGTAATAATAAATCATATATGACAACATTTTGTATAGTAAAAATAAGTTTTATCTTTACCAAGTAAAGCAATTAGCAATATGGCGATTGGTGGAGATTGTAGCATTTTCACAGTTGAATTCACGAATCAATCTAAGCTAGACCACCATTGAATACCTGTAATCACTGGATAGCCGTTTCGTCCTGATATGGGGCTTGGACTCAAAATCTTCTCTCTTGTGTTCTAATGCTTAACCTATAGACCACTGAGTCTGTATCCAATAGTGCTAATGTTTAACTTCAATTGATTCATGATTTTGCACAATCTTTCATCCGTTGTGTCTGGTGAATAACTGTCTCTCACCCATCATGGGTTGGACTGTACTTGTTACCATTTCTCACTAGCACTTCAAGAAATCTATTTTGAAATTAGTCACTAGTAACCATATGATCATTATCAGTGTAGAGATTTGTAGAAATTGTAGTATTTTCACAGTTGAATTCAAAAGTCGATTTAAGCAATTAAGATTTTTGAATACTTTGCTTATTTTTTTTGTTTCAACTATTGGAATAAGTGATATTTATCAACATGTATCAATGAATGATTATTATATACGTGATATAATAAATAATAATTGATATTTCGTTACATTAGGATGCAAATGGTACAATAGAAGATGAAGAATTATCAGGATTCCTTAAAGATTTATTGGAATTAGCTCAAGAAGTAAGTAGACAGAAATAACGATTCTAGATCCTAGATATATGTATATTATGTATATATAATTTATTTGTTTAGAAAAAAAAAAGAATCAATATAAAGTAGAGATTTTATGTTGTCACCTGTGATTAGTAGTATTCTATCTTCTTTCTGATGTTTTATACAGTCAAATGTTTATTAAGGTTCCAACTAACCAAATGAATTCATAGACTTGTTTTCTTGCTTTACTTACTTAGGCCAGTTACTCGCAATGGAGCATTGGCCGCCGACCAACATTCTCCAACCCACTCTGTCCTGGGCCTCCCTTTCTAGTTCTATTCAATTGTTGTTCATTCTTCTCATGTCCGTCTCCATGTCTCGGCATAATTTGTTCTTTGATTTTCCTCTTTTCCCTTGACCTTGAGGATTCCATGTGAGGGCTTGCCTTGTGATGCAGTTGAATGCTTTCCTCAATGTGTGTCCTATCCACTTCCAGCGCTTCTTCCTGATTTCTTACTTCACTGGAATCTGGTTTATTCTCTCCCATAGTAGGTTGTTGCTAATAGTGTCTGACTAACGGATCCGAAGTATTTTGCGTAGACAATTGTTAATAAACACCTGTATTTTATGGATGATGGCTTTCGTAGTTCTCCAGGTTTCTGCACCATACAGTAGATCTGTCTTGACATTTGTATTGAAAATCCTGACCTTGGTGTTGATTGACAGTTGCTTTGAGTTCCTAATGTTCTTCAGTTGTAAATATGCTGCTCTTGCTTAACCGATCCGCACCTTCACATCTGCATCAGATCCGCCGTGTTCATTAGTGATGCTGCCCAAATGTGTAAAGGTTTTACATCTTCAAAATCTTCTCCGTCAAGTGTGATTACATTGTTGCATTCTGTGTTGTATCGGAGAATCTTGATTTTCCCTTTGTGTATATTGAGACTTACTGCTGCTGAGACTGCTGCTATACTAGTCGTCTTCTGCATTTGTTGTTGCGTTTGGGATAGAAGGGCCAGATCATCTGCGAAGTCTAGATTGTCCAGCTGACCAGACAAAATATGAATATCAAATTATTTCCATATTGTATAGTGTTATACATTACGGAATGATTTTACCTAGACAACCGTTGAAAACCAGGAAATTATAGTCAATTATGCTTATTCCAAGAAGAAAAAAACTATTTTCACCCAGATACCATTTTATAACAGTTTTTTAACAGGAAGTAACACATGTATAAACGTGTGTGCAATTTATTTCACTCAAGCACTTATAACCTTTCATCTTATTAAATTATAGCACACATCAATTGTTGCAATGGCTACTGAGAACTAAAATGGAGACTCTAGAGGCTCTAAAAGAGCCGAAGAGTTTCCATCCAATCAGAATATAATAGGGCTTTCTAGAATAACAACGGGGCATGTTATTATTGGACAGTAGCATAACATTGGATTATAATGTTCATATAACAAACGCTAATATCTATAAATACTCCATCATTTTCTGTATATCTTGATTCTTACCTAACAAGCACTTCTCCGGTCTTCTTCTATCTTTTGATCTGCGATTGTGGGGATTCTATACGTCCAACTGCCGTAGTTGTATACCGTACTCTGCGTTAATCAAGTAGCGAACTTTACATCAATAAGATGGTAGATACCATTATTTATATTTTTGAGTTATTTTTTATAACTCAAGGTAAGTTAGGGTTGTAGGCTTTTGAAATTCTAATTTCAATCAAAGAAATTTGATAAATATTAAATCTCGATTCTAAAAATCCATGTAATCCAGGTTATGTTAATTTTTAGGAAAGTGATATTTATTACAACACTCCTTTGAAACATTATACCTGAAAGTAAAATACCCTGGATTCCACTACTAGCCACCATCTATTTCTGCTTAAAATGTTTGTATCCTAAAACAATATCAAGGCAATCCGAACAGCATGCACATATTGCCAATAACACATTAATCGACTGCAGTCCTAATCATTAATTGAGAAGATTCAAACGATCAATAGAAAATGAGTTTAATCTGGGTTTTTTCAGTTGTTTTTTTGGTGAGACCATAATTTATGGACAACCTTTGAGTGACCCTAGACTGACCTTGAGAGTATCCACCAAATAACCAGGACCAATTGAGAGTTATAAACCAGTGTGAGTAATTAGAAATATGATTTACAGTTAATGTTTAAAGCTAGGAGTTAGATTTATGGTTTTCATCACAAACTAATATCAGCTATAATGCCAAAACTTTATTTAGCCAAATAGAATTTCGCGCCAAAATCCGAGACCTGTCATTTTATATCTGATTGGTTTGTCCATAAATTATAGTTTCGCGGTTGTTTTTTTTTAAATTTTTTTTGTCATCCGAATCTATTCATAATTGTTTGTTTGTTTTTTTGGTTTTGTAGGATTATGATGAAGCTGATTTGGAATTCTTTAAAAAAGTCATATTAAATCAATGGGATGTAAATAATGATGGGAAAATTAATCGTGATGAATTAAAAATGATGCTTATGCAACAATCTCGTCTGTTAGGTGATAGATTATGAAATTTTATCTAATTATTTATTCATTATTATTATTATTATTATTATTATTATTATTATTATCACTATTCAGTATTTATGTTATCCATTTTCAAACGAAAGACAAA